TCAGAGACCATCAAAGACCGCGACAGAGAAATTAATCAGCTAACTAATTAATTAATTTCTGTGTCCCTGTCTGTGGGGGAGGGGGTGGACGGGGGTGGACGGGGGTGGACGGGGGATGAGTCCAAATTTCTACCCTATATACTTCAACACTCCTTTCAGATCGTGTTTCACAAAAAAAGAGGGGACGAAAAGGGACTACCCCGTCACGGCTATACCATAGTGATGCCAACCATTCAATATAAAACTGGAAGATTCATTCATTTATATTCTGAATTTTAGATTCATAAATCGACTTTTCTATTATGAATGTCTGTTTGACTGATCATTATGGAAAGTCTTTTATTATTCAACTTGCATGGAATTTTGATCACGAAGATTTTCGAACTATCGTTCAAAAATATTTCAGTGGAACTCATATGTATCGATTTATTGTTCAAGGTCATGAATTAGACATCTATAATGAATATATATTTAATCGTCAAAAAAGCTTATTCAAAAATGGCATAAATGTTATGGTTACACGACGAATGCTAGGTGGTGGTTATGTTGAAATGCAAATATTAACTGGCATTATTCTTTCTGATCTCGAACAGCAATTATTGAAAATTCCAACAGTTTACTATGAAGATAAACCATGTCAAGTATGTCGTGAGCACCCGAATTGTTTTCAACTTTGCTGTTCTCGCATTTGTCAAAGTTGTTTTGTTAGCTATTTTGAATCATCATCTTTTCGCTTAAAATGTATGATATGTCGACGTGATATAGATCCCAAATTGTTCTTTATCTCAAACGACTTTATTTGTTCGCTCGAATCATTAGATGAAATACGTGATTTAATGAAATGTATTGATTGCCAAATATGCCATTGTGGTTTACTTGTCGTCAACGAAACACTATATGCTAAACAAACTTGTCAACAATGTAAACGAACGTTTTGTTTCTTTTGTAACAAAGATTGGGATGATGGATTACAAAAAAAACATAACGATTTGTACACATGCCATGTTAATTGTGATTATGAAACTAGACTCTCATACGAATTGGTACCATTACAGTCAAATCTATCAGTAATGGTACCTAATCGACGCTTTTGTCCTTTTTGCTTCACATTTGGTAGTTACGATGACAAATGTAAATATCACATGTGTCCTTCTTGTTCTCGTTCATTTTGTTTCATTTGCCTGGAAGAAGAAACTTTATGTAAAAGCAAATACGGATCCAACTATCAACATAAATGTACAGATTTCAAAAAGCAACATTTCGATGACTTTCCGACAATAGCAAAACATTAAGTAATATTAAAAGTTCTTTTTTACTGTTACATGTTATTTAATGACTATATTGAAAGTAAAAAATAAAGACAATCATTTGTTAGTTTTGTAATTGCGTCTTACAATACTACAAGAAGGCATGCATTTTTGTTCTACATATGCGCACTTAATGACATACCACTTCTTAACGTTTTGCACTGGTGTATAAGTGGGGGTGTATATTTAGAGGGAACTGACACCCACATACCCATTTCGATGGGATTCAAGTTTGTCGATGACAGCTTTATCATAATATTCGAAGGCTAGGTGAAGTTTGGTTTGGTTTTGAATATTTCAATAAGATTCGTCAGGTTTTCATGATTCAAATGCTAAGGAAATAATATAAATATTAGGAAAGCTTCTTGTTTTATGCGAATTTTTTACTTTTAGCATTTGAATTTCTATCATAAAAAATGGCTTGTATTTATTTGAGCAATAAAAAATATAGAATGAGCAATAATAAAAACATGATTTAGCAATAACTTTTGAGCAATAATAAAAACATGATTTAGCAATAACTTTTGAGCAATAATAAATGTTTATTTGAGCAATATCATAATACGAAATGAGCAATATTTTGATATTAAATGAGCAATAAATAATTTATTATATAACAATATTAATTTCATATATGAGCAACAAAAAAAGATAGAAATGCATTATTTTTATTTATAATTGACAATATAACAAAAAAGAAAAATGAGGTATATATAATTCGTCATTGTATCAATAAAGCTTTTTTTGCTTTCGATGGTCTGCCTCTTTTTCTTTTCGTGCCAATTGTCACCCTTTTGCTTCAGGTGGACGTTTCCAATATTTTTATCTAATTGATATACCGATCGTGTGTTTTCGGGTGTGGGTGTGGGAATTGCTGTAGGGGTCATATGTTGAAGCCACATCCAGACCTCACACCCAAACCCGTTTGCACTTCAATTTACTGTATATGGCCACAAGATCCAATACTATGTTCCAATAAAAAATGGTTTTACAAATTTCAATGACGGCTTATGAAGAAGAAATGTATATTCTTTTATAACGAGACGAAATAACTTCGCTTGCCGACAGGTAGGATGCAATAGGCAAAACAGAAATCTGTTAACTTTGTTTCTGTTCGTCTTTTCATTGAGCCCATGGCGAATACACCATATTTCGCTTTACGATATACAGAGAAGTTTCTGTTTGCATATGCCGACGATGCTGATAACGAAGAATGTAGAAAAGGTCAAACCTTCAAGATAAACCAACGATTCTCTTTTCGTTGCAATAACATTAGAAAACATTGCAGTTTTGCGATATTAATATGTTGATATTGATAAAAGGATGTTGATTCAAAAACAGCTGTCTGTCTATCTTAGTTGAGAGAAAAAAATTCTATTTTACATTCGTTCACATCATTAGTTTTGCGATAGCCGTTTTGAAAAAGCTTTCACACATTGTCCACTCACGTAAGATCACGAATTAGTCCCCAGGTCAATCACACTCCATCGTAAACGGCTATATAGCAGTCACGTACGACAACAGAACAGCACACATGTACAGCGGCAGTTAGCAAGAATTAAACACGATGCTTCATAGTGTTTTACGATCATTCTCAGCATCAATTATCGACTCTAATGAAAGATATTAGTGGTAACATTATTTCGATCTTAACGAACCAAAGGAAAGGAGGGGGTGCATAAGAAGCCAAATCGGCCCATTTTATTTTTGTCTTTAAAGATATTGAAAAAATGCACGGAACTACCAAAACAAATGCGCTGATTATTTCTGCTTAGAAAATAAAAGGATTTATAAACATTCCATAGATCAAATATACAGCGTGATTTAATAGGGCACTTATATAGATATCTAAAATGAAATTGTCTACTACCACTAAGAAAAACATTTTCCTAAAACTTGAAAAACTTTCTCAATCGATAGAGCTTAAAAACTCTACAAAATGGTACTATTTTCAGGTTGAAGATACATGATATTTATATACTTTTTTGGTAAGTTCACTTGGACTACGAATTATTAATTGTTAAATATGAAGGTGGCAGCAGTCTTGACGCTGGGCTGTTTGAACAATGCAGAGAGTCGTGTTTATTTAGTAAACAATTGCACGAAAATACAAATACTTGAAGTTATCTTCAAACTTATTTTTGCTGAAGTGTGTGCTGTCGTCGATGACTTTGATCAATCGCGATCCAGAGAGCGAATGATTATCGGTGAAAATAACAGCGTTGTTAATACCTATGTGCCACAGAAGGCTATTATGTGAGAGCACATCCCGGCTTATCGTACACCTGCAGAACAAGTGCAATACGATGCATCGGTCGGCTGTTGTTTGTGGTTGTCGAATGTACAGTAGCAATATGTTTCTTGTTGTTTGAGTGACGTGATTGAAATCGTGCTCGAACTAAGTCATCGTGATCATTACAAAGTTCAACGAGAAATTCCATTTCTTCTTCATTTGTTTGAGATTGTCTGATGTGCTCGATGATGTAAGACTTTGCCATCCTAATTTGATAAGAACCTTAACAAACAGAAAACGTTTAAATTACTAAAGTGATTAGTCTGATGTTACCAAATGTAAGATCACGAATGTTTTCTTCGGTCAGTGGTGGAAATTGAAAATTGGCAATGTTGTGCTTTGACCAATGTAGTGATGTTGTAACAGTGTATTTCGATTTACTTTTGATGTGCGTGTCGTTCACCGCGTGATCACCACTGATTATAGCTGATGGTCAGTCGCGACACTAGAGGTGAGCGCATGGGTGACAGTGTGGATGACTGCGTGGACGGTAAGGTGGATCAAAGCGTGGGTGTACACATGATTAACAAAAAAACTAAGAATATGAATATGCACGAAATGCACTCCATCTATGTCTTAGACAGATCCGTTCAAGGACGAAGAACTTTCAAAATGTAACTCCCTGTCTTGCAACGAGCGAGTTTGAATCCACCTGTAACACCGTAGGACCTTCAGATAGACCACAACGCCGCTTAGAAGAGCTTAAACAGGACATTGCCAATTTTGCAGCTATATCCCACCCACTATTAGTTATCAACCAACAAAACTAATGTAAAGCGACCAGTCTGAATACTTTGCTAAAGTAAGATGCAGCTCCTACAATGTCTAATATTTTTGGGTCATATCTCAAACCTTTCATTTCTTCCATTTTGGCAAGCACATATATACAACAATGCAAATTGTTCTGCCAAAGCAACGTTTGTCATAAACATATACCCCAAAAGATAACATCCATCATAAAACAGTTCTACACAGGCCACCTTGATAAGCTGCCAGCCATTGTTAAAATAGTCTGGAAAGCCTGGCCCAGGAAATGCAGATGCATTTTTTGCACTATTGCCTCCACAAGTCAGCCATTACCTTCGCTTCTTCGATCTTCAAATAGTGCCATTTTGTAGAGCTTTTCAAGCTCTATCGATCGAGGTATGAACCATCTTGAAGCAAGAAAGTTATCTTATGCGAGTATACTGCAAGATAATCCAGACTACAGGGACTTTCCTGGATTTTCCACCATATTGTCCTTATAGTCGTCCAGTAGCCATCGTTCTTTTGACCTGAAAATAGTACCATTTTGTAGAGCTTTTTAAGCTATGTCGATTAAGATAGTTTTTCAAGTTTTAGGAAAATATTTTTCCTAGCGATAGTTGGCAATTTCATTTTAGATATCTATATAAGTGCCCTATTAAGTCACGCTGTATATTTGATCTATGGAATGTTTATAAATCCCTTTATTTTCTAAGCAGAAATAATCAGCGCATTTGTTTTGGTAGTTCCGTGCATTTTTTCAATATCTTTAAAGACAAAAATAAAATGGGTCGATTTGGCTTCTTTTGCGTCCCCCTCCTTACTGAATCAAGGTTA